TACCCGAAGGGAGCCTACAGGAAAGACAGGGAAAATATTTTCAACAGGGGTTGTTGCGACAGGACAAGGAGAAATGGCTTTAAACTAAGAGAGGGTAGATTTAGACTAGATATAAGGAAGAAATTTTTTTACGATAAAGGTGTTGAAACACTGGAACTGATTGCCCGGAGAAGTAGTGGAGGCCCCACCCCTGGAAACATTCAAGGCCAGTTTGGACAGCGCTCTGAGCAACCTGGTCTAGTTGAAGACGTCCCTACTCACTGCAGGGGAGTTAGGCTAGATGACCTCTAAAGGTCCCTTCCAACCCAAAGCATTCTATGATTCCCAAGCATTCCTTTTACACCTTCAACATCCAACGGTCTCGTGGACTTCCTAGCAGACTTCCTGCTTTTACCATATTTTAAGAACTTTTCACTGTCCGCCTGAGCACTCCTAGCAGTACACACTTTCAGATTATTTTTTATTTTAACACTCTGAATTTCCCATTCACATCTGAACTGCTGCAGTCTGAATTTTCAGGATTTTTTTGTTTCCCATCATGTCAACCTTTTCTCTACAATAACTTCTCTACAGAGGCACTTGATTTTATTTTTGAATTGCGGCAGTTAAGCTGCACTCCTGATGCAGTCTCCATGGTTCTGGACTGTCCTTTTCTTTGGGTTTGTTTTTTTGTTTAATTCATAATTTCTGTCTCCATTTTCAAGTAGTTACCTTTCCTTGGATCTACAAGCTGAATTTGTCCGACATGTTCATTCCCACTACCTTAAACACTGAATGGACTCGCTGGGGTAGCATGTGTTTGGGTTTTTTTGTTTGGTTGGTTTTTTTTTTAAACAAACCAAAAACCAGCCATATTTAAAGTTTCACTTCCAGCTGAAATGTTGGCCTGAGCCATACAAATAAAAATTTCCCAGACCACCAAACAATAATCCTATACATCAAGTGACAAGCATGACTTCCACAGTATCTTTACTACAAGAGCTTATGATCAAATATTACCAGCCACCACCAGACACCTCATAGGGTACATTGTAGCAACACCTATAAACAGCTAGGAGAATATCTAACACAGGAATTGCAAGTTGCTGAAAAAGTAACAAACGTAGAATAGTTCCCCCTTTTTTTTTATTTTGACACTCTGTCTGCAAACATGAATAAATGGTTTATGTCTGAGAAATCTACATCCTTTTCCTCAGAAGGGAAACATCAACTGGAGCCAGAACTTTTCCAAGAATCTTCACAGTGCAAGTAACCCGAAGGGAAGAACCCTTCACTGGGAGTTGTCCCAAGCCACCACAAAGCATGCCTCAATGAACTCTGTACAGCCAAAGCAGGCAATTTGCCCTTCATAACAACCAGTCTCCCCACTGCATTACAAGATCATTCTGCACATAAAAATAGGCAGCTTTACCTATAAGTCCAAATGCAGAATGGGTTTTCAAACTCCATTTTTTTTTCCAGTCATAGTAAACCCCTTTTTTTTTTCTTGAGGTAATATTAGACTATTTCTATTGCCCTGATGTCCAGAAAGGAATTTGCATGGGCAGATGGAAGGAGGTCCCTGAAAAGAGAGAGAAAAGGTATTGCAAGATTGTGTTGAGAATCTACTAATTTGAAGCGAACAGCTGCTTCACAGGTAAAAAAGAAAAAAGCAACTTCCAAAGGATTCCCTAACAGCAGTAAGATATAAAACCGTTTTGTCATTTCCGTGCTTTCCAGAATCTTTGCTTTAATTTTGTGGATTTCTTAAGCTGCTGTAGTGAACGAGATAGTCTCAGAAGTAGCATCTGTCTTTTTTTCTAGAGAACAGACTGGGGGGGGTGGTGATGTGACAAAGGAAAAAGGTAAGTACAGCGAAAGGAAGACAAGACAGACAAAGTTTTTGAAGAAACTCACTACTTTCTGGGAGAACTACATTATATCTTAGTGTAAGGTTTCCTAAGTATTAGAGCTTGCTACAGAAGGACGAGACAGTTGGTTCTGACTCCCTGCACCCCAATGCAATTAATTTCTTTAACAACATTAAATAAAAAGGGGTATAAATAAAAGGTTTACAGCAGCTCCAGACAAGCTGCTGCTTTAGATTTTACCACACGCATGAATTCCTTCCCCAATAATATATTTATGCCAATGTTATGAAGGCAGGGCAGCAAGTCTAGTGACAATGACAAACAAACAAAAAACCCTACACACCCAAAAAAACCAAAATCGGGTACTCTGAACACTTTCCAGGTTCCTACTACAGAAAGACAGTACCGTAAGTCCAGTTATACAAGTCATAAGTCTGCACAAAAATCTCTGAAGGACTCCACACTTGCATTTGAGAAGGTTTGAGGTCCTTAAGTCTAGAGCTTGAGAAGCAGTGCATTTCACTAATAACGCCTTCACATAAAAATATCACCTACAAATGTCATAATAGGGACCGCAAATACAAAACTTGCACTGAGGAACAAGGATCATTCTTAGCACTACACTTCTCTTGAGCTACGTGGCAAATGAAACTAGTCAGTTTTGTCTTATTTTTATTAAGAAACACTAGCGACTTCACAAGGCTACAAACAAACCTAAGGCACCGAAACTGTTTTATCTCCTCAACCAGTGACTCTCGTATGCTCAGTCTAGCGTACTACAGGAAACCAGAGGCTGCCTTTGAGCTCATACAAAAGCAGAAGTCTCTTTCAAAGGATCAAAAGGCAGAACAACAGTTCAAGTTATCTTCCGACCGGAAGCGCTAGCTAACCACCACACACCTGTACCGCTCACGGTGCTTTCGCATCCGTCGGAAAACACCTCAGTATAAATTTCATACCAGTATCTTCACTTTTTATTTTTGAGGCGTTCAAGTGAAGAACTACAAAGGCTATAACCTACATAACCTTCCTCTCTAGGGCAGATGATTGGCGTCGGTTCTGAGAAGTAAGCGTCTTTAGGCAGGAGCCTCCGTTCACTCCAATTTCGTCACGTGCGCCAGCATTAAAAAGCAGAAATAGACTGAACAGCAGCACCGCACGGAGAAAGAGCTCGGCGCCGAGGAGGCAGCGCGGCAGGCGGGGGCGGGGAGGCG